TGCAGCCAGGTGAAGAAGAAAGCCACATGCTTTTGGTGGAGTACAAACTCCTGCAGCTTTGGTAGAAGAGGCCCACGTGGCTTTGGGGTGCTCCCTTTGGCCGAGTGGCCTGGAAAGCAAGAGAGACTTTGACTGCAACTGGGTACAAAGAACTCTTGCCAGTGGACCATGAGAGGGTACCACAGTACTTTGGATTAACTAGAGAGAGATCCTGCCTGCACGGTGACACAGCTGACAGTGCCAGTGGCCTGCAACACAGACGTGTGCTCTTTTCCTGATTTACGGTACTCAGAGTTGGGACAGTGGGAGAAGGGAGCGCTGTGTGGGTGTAGGTGTATACCCTAAAGGACTTTGATATTTTAGTGGTGGCGTTAGGCCTGAATAGCATTAAATAAACATTTTGTTTCCTTTTCACAAATCTCTGGCATTGAGAGATGTCTTTCCAATTGGCGGCGGACAGAAGAGCCCAATAGATATTAGTATTTTGTCCTTGGGAGGGGCCCCTGTTGTATAGCAGTTTTGGGCATCCCTAGGTGAACCAAATATTGTATTGCCCCTCCCTTGGACCTCTTGTTCGGTAACAAGCACAAAAGTAATATAGTGTACGACTGTGTGCTGTATTTGTATGTAAAACATGTAGTGGTCTCTCTGGCCTGTTCAACTAATGGAAATAATGTTCATTTTAAAACTCATTTATTCATAGTAATGAAACAATACATTAATTGTCCTTAAGTTACATTAAAGGGAAAGCCTTTTCCTTTGCTTCTGAATCTATTTAGCTGTCTGACACCTCAAATAAAGCACCCATTAAAGCAAAAGCTTCTATTTTCTAGGTTTCCCCACACTGATTTCTGAACTGTTCTTGTTCATTTCCACCCCATCCTGTAGCAGATAATAAACACAGTAATTAAAAGCAAGGATGACTCTAGTATCAAACTGCTTGATTTCTTAACCTGATTTCATAACTTAGAAGCTGTGTGACTTCGGGCAAGTTACTTGATGGCTCTATGGCTCATTTCATCATCTGTAAAATAACTTACTAATAATACTTGCTCATACTACTGTTGTGAGTTGCTATGCTAAATGTATGTAAAGCAGTCAGAAGAGTACCTGGCACCTAACTTTTTGGTTTTCCATCCTGATCCAATGCTACCTTTTGTGCGCCGATTTTGATGTTGTACCTTTGGTTTCTCTGGTGCTTGAACCTCAGATTTCTCATGAAAATGCCACCCTGGCCATGCTCCTGTCCATTTTAGGCAGGACCCTTGCACACACTTCCCTGTACCTACAGGGGTCTTCAGCCCTCACCCCCACATTCTCACCGTCTTCACATAGTTAACTTCCTTTGTCTTGTAGATTTCACTTTAAACAGCTGTGTTTGGGGGAATCCTTTCCTGGCTCTCAGGCTAGAAAAAGTGCCTTGTGATTTAAGTATTCCTTGATCCCTCTAATTTTCTTTTACAGCAATCACCAGACTTTATAGCTGTGTAGCTATGTGAATATTTAATAAATAAAAATGTGTATCCTGTACTCAAGCTGCTCGAATGCAGGGTACAAATCTATCTTGTTCATCATTATATCCTAATTGTTACAGTGTTTGGCCTGGAGTAGGTAAGAAGTGTTTGTTAAAGAAATGAATAAATTATATTCAGAGATAATCCTTAGGGTTCAATATAAGTAAACATGATTTGCCCAATATTATGCTGCTAAAAATGAAATAACTCTAAGTAGAACTCAGTTTTTCTGACTCCAAGTCCTCCCTTATTTCCAGGCATTAAATCTTCGATTACACAAATCATACAATGAACTATGCAATTCCTATTGTGTAAGTTCTACAGTAAAAGTAGAAATTAGAAAGTATAGAACTGGGCCTCCCTAAGCAACTGCTGTTTAAGATATGAAGTAGGAGTTAGGGTTGTGGCAAGGAAGAGTTAGTTCCAGGTAGAAAGAACCATTTACACAGTGGTCTAATGATGAGAAAAGCTTGAGGAATAAGAACATAAAAAAGATCACTGAGAACACAACAGGAGTAAGAGGCAGGCTGAGGTTTAATCAAAAAGGCAGGGCCAGACCTTCTGCACCAAGGAAAGAATTTTGTTTCTTAAAGAACAGAAGAGAAAGACACTGAAGGATTTCAGTGGGGGTGACACAATCAGCTTTGTGTGTTTTGTAAGATGATACTGCCTGGTCCGTGGGGCAGGTACAGAGCAGACTTAGTGATTGGTTGGATGTGGGGTCCAGAGAGAAAGAAATGTAAGACTGACATTCAGGTATCCAGCACCATCACCAGGGAGCACTGTAGTGTCGTTTCTAGAGAAAGGCCATTAGTAAATAGATCAAGAGTTTAACCTTATTGAGTGTATAATAGCTCTCAATAAATAGTGGCAATTACTGTTTTTGTGGTGATTTTTAGGTGTTGCCCCCATTCTGTGCATAGGTACTTCTGCACAGAAGAACACTTGGTGTTTGGAAAGGAAAGTCACCTAAGGAGCCTCAACATGAAAAACCCTTTCCCTTCAATCTGATTTCTAGAGTAGACTTAATATACATGTGAGAGACACATAAATAAACAGCATTCCTATTTCTTGAATTTTCTTTATTTCCCAAGGATCAAAGTTTAGATGTGATAACGTGACCATGGCCAACTAGTCTACTGGGGCTAACTCATGTCTGAGATATCAATGTTTATGGGGAAATAAACCTGCAAAATTAATCTTAATTGGCTTGGGCTAAATAATGGATGAGCATAGACAGATCAAAGGATTTTCCTACAAACTGGGTATGGGGACAGAGTAAGCAAAGAAATCAAGAGGTGTGCTTAGCTCTTTGACCTTACATAAAGTATTTTATTCCTTATTTTATGATCTAGATTTTTTAAAATTTTATTTAGTTACTTTTCAAGTACAGTTTTTTGTCTATTTCTCCCATCCCAGCCCCCCCTGCCCCGTCTCCCCACCTCCTTCCCATCCCCCCCAGTCCTCATCCCTGTGTCTTTCATACTTGTTCCTCAAAATCCCTCCCCATTTTGATCTAGATTTTATTTATATCATATTTTTGCCTCATTTAACAATTTGTTATATTTATATTTACTATTCATAATAGTAAAAAAAAGGAATGCCTGTTAGATAGTGAGTTGGCAGTATTGACTATGTAAGGCCATTTTAATTTCCATTCCCGTGAGCCAGTACCACCTGTACAAGCACAGCGGGTGGCTGCTTGGCCTTCACACTGGCACATGACCCCTGCCTTGCTCCATAGAGATGCCAGGAAAGCAAAGACCATGCATCAGAAGTAGCCACATGGTGCTAAGGAGAATCCTTGTTATCATGATCCTGATCACTGTATAAACGAAGTTCTGAAGCATTTGAGGTGAATGGCAAAATGTGTTAAATATACCAAAGGCATGTTAATTCGTAAGTTTTCAGCTCAGGGTTGAGAGTTTTTTCAGTAGTTAATCTACATGCCAACCAGGCATTTTGAAACCAGGTACGTATAAGGAGAGAGGCATTAAGGGCAAGTCAAGTCTAAGACAAGCCCCAATTGTTTTGGTCACATGAGGTCCTGATTAAAATCGAAGAGGTGCTCAATCTCACACAATCACCATTAAGAAACATTAAACAAACACATATAGATCAGCATACAAGAGATTCTGAAAAAGAAAGAGGGATATTTTAACTTATATTCTGAATAGGTTTAATATGTATTTTATTTATATTAGAATGCTTATAGAGGTCCTCGAGGTATTTCATTTTATTTTTTTATTTTTATAAAGTTTTTAAAAAATTTTACTTATTTACTTTTACAGAGAGGGGAAGGGAGGGAGAATGAGAGGGAGAGAAACGTCAGATGCCTCTCCCATGTGCCCTGACTGGGGCCCCAACGGGCAACCCTTCGCTTTGTGGAGTGATGCCCAACCGACTGAGCCACACCACTCAGGGTGCTTAGAGTATTTTAATGCATTTTTACACTTGTACCTTTATATCATATTTCTTAAGCTAGAAAAAAGTATCTCACATATATACTTTTTCTATTTAAATTACCATATACACAGAGCTTAAAAATGCACATCTTCTTTAGTGCTGTGGGTCATTCATAATAATGCCTAACCTGGTATAATCCCAGCAAAATCTCAAGCACCCCATTCAATACAACAAAATGAGCCAGTGCTGAATCATTTGAGCACTTGCATCTACTCTAATTATATGAACAAATTCTTGCTTATATTAACTTCAGAGTTTTAACTTTTGATGTATGTTGAAAATTAGACACCTTGCTTACTATCTAAGAATTCTGAAGAGGAGAGTTTTTTTCTTCACATCTTTAGTAATTAGAGCATGGCTTTGAAAAAATGACAAGAGTATTCAAACCATAGCTCCCTTTCTTGCTAGTCATGTAACCATCTAATCTCTCCATGTCTTAGCTTTCACCTTGCATCTCAGATGCTCATCTGTAAAATAGGGTAAAGGAGCACCCATCTCGAAGAGCTGTTGAGTGTTAAACGCTGTTACATTACAGAACTTAGAACTGTGCCAGGTACATACCAGTGCCCCCAGAATGTTAGCTATCATTATCATCACTGCCTTCTTCATTTTGATTTTTAGTCACTGAGCAAAAGAGGCTACAAAATACACACTTAATTTTTTCCTCTGTATTCTCAACCCTTAGTGTTATCAGAAGCATCAATCTTATTTTCCATTCTTTTAGCTTGTCTTCTTTAGTCCAGTGACTCTCAAACTTTTCTTTTACATAACTACCTTTATAACGTATTTGAACATGAACTTTCACATGATATAACCTATAATTTTAGAATCCTTTGATTAAGAAAATACTATGAACCAAGGGATTAAAGAACCCCCTGAAATGAATCCATAGCCCCTCCAGGGTCTAAAGCTTATTGGTTAGGAACCATTGCTTTAATAAATAATATATTTAGTTTAAAATGTAATTCGGTTCCTTTTTTAAAAAACCTTGTGGGTCAAAGCTCTCTCAGCTTCTCTTACCTCGCCCATGACTGCTATGGGTGTTTCTCCTGTTGCCTGAGCAACACGATGTTCTACTAAGTAGAACATATACTCATCGTAGAGTAGACGGATCAGGTGGAAGGAGCCAAAGCTAGCAGCACTGCGTAAGGTTAAGTCCCGAATAACCATTGAGCTGTTTCAAGAGAAAAGACATATGCAGCCAATATTAGTGACCAGGATTTGAGTTCAAGGTACTTTTCCTCTTAAAAGAAGTCAAGCTGAGGTCTGAAAGGGTAGTGTGGCACACAACCCACCATGCAGTAATTGCACTGGTTGAAAGCAGTTGGCTCAACTCTTTGAAAGAGGGGGGTTAAAGGACTATTGTAGTAGCATAGTCAAGTCTGCTGATTCCATTAAACTCCCACATGGATCAGAATTGAATATAAATTTTTGAAAGGTTGATAACTCAACACTACCATAAGAAAAAAGCAGCTCAAAGTGAAAATTTACTTGAGGGGTAAACACTGTAGTTACCCCCTTTGCATGATAGTGACATTGCTGTGTACTTTTGAAAAACTATGTATATGCGCCATACAAAGGTTACAGAACGTACCAAGCAATGTCCTAGATGTGGCAATGTACAATGTAGGTGAGGATGTTCAAGGACCCGTGCAAGTTTGGTTGGAAGGCAAATTTATTGTGATCACAGTTTCTTACTGATTTCTACTTATATTAAGGTGATCTTCCATGGCAAGCGTAATAAAACCAATGAAGAAATGCATATGTTTGGAAAATGTGAAGACTGAATTTATAAAATTCCAAAATACAAACAATATTATTCAGAAAATGCTAACAATAAACTCAATTATATTTAAAAAGTAAATGAGTCCAAAATAAAATTTTGGCTTTGCTGAGGTGAGCCAATCATTAGCTTGTCTGTACACGTCAAACCTCTTCAATATATCCAACTTAGAATCAGAGTAGGGTGTATACAGGGTGTATTGGTGCACTGCTTCTATTCAGTGATCTTTTCTAGAGATTTTTGGCCTAGAAAAACTAAACAGCCATTATATTCTTTTTTTAAATAAGATAAATACATAGTTCTTAAATTTTATTTATTTACTTATTTATTTTTAGAGAGAGGAGAAGGGAGGAACATCAATCTCACACACATCAATGTGTGAGAGATACATCAAGAAGATGCCTCTTGCATACCCCCAATTGGGGATCTAGCCCGAAATCCAGGCATATGTCTTGACTGGAAATTGAACTGGCAACCTTTAAGTCCACTGAGCCACACCAGTCAGGGAGCCACTATATTCTTAATATACAGATGATACAGAATTGTACAACTGAAAGCTATGTAATTTGTTAATCAATGTCACCCCAATAAATTCAATATATAATTTTTTAAATGACTATTGTTATTCAAAATTAAAAGAAATTCCAATTAAGATAATAATCTATTTTACTGTAAGAAATTGAAAGATCCAGGTTGCAGAGGGTATGGCGAAAGAACTCTCATGTACTGTTTCTGCAAGTGTAACTTCATGGAGGTCTATAGAAGGAAATTTGGTAATATTTGTGGAAATTTAAAATGCATGAATCCTTTGACCTAGCAATTCCAATTCTAGAAAGTTATACAAATGAGCAAGGATAGTTTTAATCGCAGCAGTATTTGTACTTGTAGGAAACTACTGTGAAAAACCAAGTGTCCATCAGTAGGATGCTGATTAAACAAATTATGGTTTGTTCATATTTGGAATTTTATGCAGTAGTTTAAAGAAATGAGGTAAGTAGACATAAAGGTAATAACATGGAAAATGCCTATAATATAATATTAAGTTAAAGAAAAAATACATAATAAGAACTCAATTAACAATAAAATATATCCATATAGTTTTTTTTTTTAAAAAACCCTACCCTTAAATAGGAATGTTTAATACTTTATTAGCGCTGGGATGGTACAATAGAGTAAAATAGTGTTAGTCACTTTAAAAAGTTCAAACTCTTCTACCAGAATTTATTTCAGAATATATATACAATTTTATATATTATCATTGAAGTATTTTTATAATTGTATCATACCAAAAACTATGTAAATGTTCAAAAATAAAGTAAAAGGGAATATATATTTTTAAAGATTTTATTTATTTATCTTTAGAGGGGAAAGGAAGGAGAGAGGGAGAGAAACATCAATGTGTGGTTGCCTTTCGTGCGCCCCCTGCTGGGAACTGGCCTGCAGGGAACCGGCCTGCAACCCCGGTATGTGCCCTGACTGGGAATCGAACTGTGATTGTCTGGTTGGTAGGCCTGCGCTCAATCCACTGAGCTACACCAGCCAGGGCACAAAAATAAAGTAAAAGGGAATATTTAAATAATTTATGAGATATACGTGTAATGGAATATTGTGAAGACATTAACATTATGTTTCTAAAGATATTTGGTGACAAGAAATGCTTAAGATATAATGTTAAATGAAAAATATTAAGGAAAGATACAGGTAACAAACTGGTAAACAACTAGATCCCAATTTTATATAACGCTAAAAGAAAACACTTTACCAGTGGTTATTTTTGGGTAGTAAAATTGTGAATGATTTAAGTTATTGTAGGCTTTTATAGTTTCCTTAAAATATAATAACCCTGAAATCATGTAAATGACTAAGGAGAATATTCATACTGATTAGCTTCTTAATATTATTTGGAAATGCAAAGTCAATTATTTTTTCCAAGAGAATTCACATTCATTTATTCAATAGATATTTATTGTGTTTCTCTATGCCAAGCTCTTGTTCTATAACAAGAGAGAAAAAAACTTGGTTTCAAAAGAGCTCACATTCTAGTAGGACAGACAGTGAATAAAAACACCAGTAGATATAAAATATAAAGTTAGGTACTGATAAATTCTAAGAAAAATTTCAATCAGGATAAGAGGTTGGAGAGTGATGGGGGCAGGCATTTTAAGATAGGGAATTGGGAAAATTCTTTCTCAAGAGGTGATATTTAAGCAGAAACTGGAGTGAAGTGATGGACTGAGCATTTGAATACGTGAGCTTCGAAGGAACTGAGAGCAAATGCAGGCTTCAAGGCAGAACTGTCTGATGTGCTATAAGAACAGCAAGGAAAGGCAAGACTGGTTACAGCACAGTAGCAAAGAGAAGAGGAATACGAGATGGGGTCTAGGGGTTGCTAGTAGCTCTCACTAACACCAACTTCTATTGGAAAATGGGAAAAACATCTGCTGACCTTCAGTTGTAATACCTAATTATCTTTTAAAAATACTGATAAGCATACATGCGGCGAAATTACTGTCACATGTTTAGAAGAGAATCAGTTGAATTATACTATTAATGCTATGTCTACTTTATTAGCTCTACAAGCAAAGTATTAAGTGACACAATTAACAGTTTAATCGGAAACCTATTGTCCAATTCAGACTTCTGTAAGATATGTCACAAAATTGACTTCATCGAATTTCATGTTGCTAAGTTACTATGAATTCAACTCCTTTCCAAATCAGTTATAAATGTTAATTATTTTATAATGGATGAGGAACACCCTTTTGTATTTATCTTATAATGCATGGTGTGGAAACTGAAACATTTACTCTGACACATGATACTCGATCCACCTCCTTGTGTATTTGGGGGATGTATCACACTATTCTAAGAAGCAGGGAGAAACATCACACCTGTGACCAGGCTGTGAAATCTCATTTCGAATAGGGCTTACAGTTGATTCTAAAACTATTACTTTTTGGAAGGTTTATGCATTGCCTAGCTGTACACAAACTAGGCTCCCTCTTCTCCCCTTCAAATCACTATCAGAGCTATAAATTTTGTTCCTTAAAAATGGGATATTTGGTAACCCTCAGGGTGGCCCTAAGTAATGCTGTGTTTGTTCTGTTATGCACAAAATGTACAAGCTGAGAAATGGCCCATATAACTTCTCCACTTCTGCTCAACAAAGATGGTGATTATTTTTTACCACCTCGCTGGGAGCTAACAGTAGCCATTTAAAGCCAGGTTAGGCAAGGAGAAGCCCCCATTGGGAAAATGGGTGTTTGCAGTGATACATCAACTGCTAGTTGATATCATGATTCTCTGCCAGTCCATTTCTGTATTTGTATGCATGTAAACAGACACACAGGATTTTAGATACTGTCAGATTAACTGACTTCAGAAATGAATAGTCTGTAGAAGTGACTGCCAAATTCTTATTACAATGCCAAAACATTTAAAAATACTCTGCAATTCTGTGTCTCTGATAGTTTGTGAATGCAGTTTTTATTACTCAACATGTTCTTATGCCTTAGTAAAAAACAGTTCAGATTTTAAAGGCTCTTAAGTTTTTAAGCTATTGACTTTGCCTACCAGCAGGAGGTATGCATCTGTCTGAATATGCCTTTCCTTCTGTGGCCCTGAACTGTATGCCTTCAAGTCTTTTTGAAATGAAAATAATAACCATAATAGTGTCTAATAATAACAAGCCAATTATCCCCAGCTCAGGGCTGACAAAGGGCAGGCAAGTGATGATCTAGGTTTGTATATCTGCAAGAACAAGAAATACAAGTAAGTAATTTTCTCTTTTCAATATACCTGTAACAGATCTCTGGGGAGACAAAGGCTCCAGGGGTGTATTTCTAAAATGTTATCAACTAAATATAGTAAAAATAAAAATCCACAGGAAGAAGTAAGGGCAGTTCTAACATAACAACATAATGAAACAGTAAGCATGGGGAAAATCCCTTGCTTTTTCTGATATAGAGAATGCACTCTGCTTCTGGCCATTTAGGTTTTAGAACAACTGGCTAGTGTAACTTCTGTTTCATCATCATTCATGAAGCACATATATCATCTATATAATTTTCTAGAAAAAAGTGGATGAATAAAAAGTTGACTTGCATGCAAACAGGAAAATAAATGACATTTTCTTAAGAAATATTCCCAAATTAAATGTTTGACTTCTATTATTACTGTTACTCTGAGAACACTGTGACAATGTCCTCTAAATCTTCCCCATGTATCCAGGGGAAACATACTTCTCATTAACACCCAGATCTAAACCTAGCATTGGTTTTACTAAAGCATACTAGTAGGTCATAGGGTCAGACAGCACCTTAATAAGGTACTTCTCAAATCGTGTGGGCTACGGGTTTTAAATATGTATATGTCAGACAGAACTTTGGAATGATTTAATTCCAGAAACAAAACAACAACACAAAACTGGCAGGCTTTCTTTTATTGCACTTGAATCTGTGCTAGACACTAGAAAACTATTTTTAGGATGTAAGGATAATTTAACTCTTAATTAAACATATATAGTAGATCTGCAGCTCTACTTTGGTTTAAGAAATAAGAATTGGACCATGTTAGTTAAGAAAAAGAAGTCACAATGAAAACCAAAGCAACTACCACCCTAATTGAAAGCTCTCTGGGTCCAAGTAATCTGAAGGCCTTCCAGGGTTCTTCTATGTCCGCAAAAATTTCTATCTACGTTATTTTAGTCAAAAAGTGATTCATTTCATACTATCAGATTATTGGATATTAAACTAGCTATGCATTCGAATCAGCCCAAATAAGTTTTTGAAGAAAGAATTTCTGATTTATTCCTCATTGGTACTCCCTAACCATCAAGATTTTGATCCAGCAAGTTTTGGGAGATACCTAGGATTTTTTTTTTACACTAATTCTGATGTGCAGCTAGGTTTCAAACAGTTATAACTGATCAAATTAAGAAATGAACTAGAATCACCTGGACAACGTTTGAAAATGCACACATCATGGGGCCTCACCTCTGCTGTTTCTGAGTTAAGTAGATTCAGTGGAGGGACCTGAAAATTTGTATTTCTAACATGTTTCCGAGTGACAGTGATGCTGGTCTCCGAGAATCACTGGACCAGAGCATAAAAAGAAGACTGGTGCTAAGTCCTCAAGAAAGAAGCCTAAATAATGTATGTTTGACAGTGGAGGGACTGTAGCCCTTTTCAGACTGTTGCCGAACATGTTATCTAGAGCGAAATCTTAGATGTTCCCATTGGAGAACTCTTGTGCTTTGAGAGAGGCTTTCTTTTCCTAGCAGAAGGCTGATGATGTTCATGTTTCTTGGTACAAATCCATAATGCTGTAATCAGTGAGCTGGGGTGAAGATACTCACAGCAGGAAGTTTCTGCAAATTGAAGTCTGCAACTCATTTATTTTCTTTTGTCTGAGAAGCATGCATATATACACACATCTGAAGACAACAAAAATACAGCATAGTAAAAAATGAGATCATACCTGTAGAAAGACCATTTTAGCAGAAATTGCCTGGCAGCTTTAGGAAAACTGGGTCTTCCTTCATAGGGCTTCAGGGCTTGCATCATCACGTTGTCAAGCCACGCAGCCCATTGCTCCAGGGTGCTCTGCTGCTGGAGAGTCATCTTGAAGTCCGTTTCTAGTCTCTGAACCATGTTGTCATCACACTGGCACACCCAGGAAGCCTGCTCCTGGGATGACAGTACACAGAAAGCAAAGGAAAAGTTCGACTCAGCATCTTTTCATTGAATGTCAGCATTCAAACCTTATGCATGAATGGGAAATTATAATGAAAGCTTCAAATAACTTAAATGAAGAACTAATTAGTTGTTAAGGAAAATACCATTGCCTTTGTGCATGAAAAAAGTGATGTGACATAAGAGCGTGGCTTGGTTTTTCTACTGGGTTGGCCAAAAAATTTGTTGAGTTTTTTCCATATGATGGTACTAGTAGTGCTTAGTTATCTTTAACGTGATTCAAAACAATTTTGTTAGGTTGTATTGTGATAGCTATCATATCAGCTTGTATTTAAAAAAACATAAAAATTGGTGAATTTTTGCGCAGCCATTTTAATATTGGAAGATAGCAGTAAATGCACAAGATTGTTGACATATTATGCTTTATTATTTTAAGAAAAGTAAAAATGCAAATGAAATGCAATAAAAAATTTGTGCCTGGTTCTGTTTTGCTTGTTGGCTCTGGGAACAGACTGACAGCTACCAGGATAAAGAGAGGAAGGGATGGTGGAAAAAAGGGGAAGAGATTAGTCAAAGAACATGTATGAATGACCCATGGACATGAACAATGGTGTGGGGATGGACTATGGGAGCGGGGGGTGGGTTGGATGGAGGGGCACCAAGGGGGAAAAATTCGAACGACTGTAATAGAGTAAACAAGAATAAAAAAAAGATTTGTGCAGTATCTGGAGAAGGTACTGTAAATGATCAAATGCGTCAAAAGTGGTTTGTAAAGTTTCTTGTACTATTGACATTTTGGCCAAATAATTCTTCACTGTGGAGCTGTCTTATGCATTGGAAGCTGTTTAGCAGCACCTTTGGTCTCTACTCACTAGAAGCAAATGGTAGGAGAGAGCCAAGATACTCAAAATATCCAAACCAATACAGTTATTGGTGAAAATGAAAAATGTATCTTTCATTTTACAAAAAAACTAAATGGACTTTTTGGCCAACCTAACACATGAGCTGGTCTGTAGGGAAGACTGAAACACCTGTTTACTGAAGAAAAATAAAACCCTGAACCTACAGTACACGAGACCTTCCATTCTATTTGGTTTTTATGCTGCATGCAACAAGTTCTTTTTGTTTCCTTCCAATCAGACAAAACATTAAAAACCCAATTCATTTGAGAGGATTTAGGGTAAGTCAGATAAATAAACAGATATGATTGACCAAAAGTAGTCCTTCAGGATTAAAAGAGAAACAAACACTGAACAGTACCAGGTAGAAGCTTATGCCGTATGCATTTTATAAATTGGAAACAAATCTCAAGGGCTGTCAGGGCCAGAGTATGAATGCAAATTAATTTACAGAACTGCAAACAACAATAACAACAACAAAAATACATTTGAGAAAGTGAAGATATGCTACCTGCCAAGAAACTAAATTCCTACAGTTTTCCTTCTGGTACTGATTGGGAAGTTTCACGTTTGGTGATAGCAATGACAATAGGAACTTTTAAGGCTATTTTTCAGTGGTTGCCATAAGTTTTATGTTTCCAGTGCTACATTGTCTTTTAAGATTAAATAACTACACTCTCAAGGACAGAATATAACCATTTCATAATACAATATTTGACTGAGAGTCAGATGACACGAATTTTAATACAGGGTCTGAATCAACTAATTTGACTTCCAGCAACTCATTTCATTTCAATGGACTCATTTTCCCTCAACATTAAATTAGAGAAATGAAATCTGACAATAGTTTTTAAGCAGGGCTCATTGTATCCAGATAATATTTTCAAGATAGGTTTCAGTGGAGGGGTGTCTGCGAAAGTCCTAATTCTACACTTAAAACAAGGTGAATGTGTATGTATATTCCTGTAAAGAGTGTTTGTCTATATCTTTTATTCTATCTACTCTCAAAGAACAAGTTCATTCAAATCAACAATTTCAACTGAATAAACCCCTAATCTCCACTCTCTGGTTCCACTATCTCTCCTGATCCTATAAACTTTACCTATTTAAGAGACATTTCAACAGGGAGATACTCTGGATACCAAATGCCAAACTTCAGTCACTTCCCCGGATGATGACACCATTATAGGGAAATCTATGGTTTCTTCTATATTCCCAGCTGATGATACTATCTACTATCCTTTCTCCTATCTAATTAGTCATAAACACTTCCAGATTTTACCTCCTAAACACCACTTGTAAACATTTTAAATACATTAAAATGTGACTATAGAAAAACTGAAAATACAAGTAAGCAAAAGGAACAAAATATGAAGAATATCTAAATGCTAACAATAAAGGGATGACCACAACAAGCTACTGTATATACCTTTCAATCTTTTCACGTATGAATATGCATGTATGCATAAACAAATTAAGTATTTAAAAGAAAAGAGGATCAGATTATGCATCCTACTAGATATTCTGATTAGTTTCAGTTAACTATATATAATAACTATCTTTCCATTTAGGCAAATATAGAGATATGTTTAATGTTCAGTGATTGAATTGCTTCAGTGTATAAATATGGCACTAGTTACATAACCAATTCCATACAATTAGACATTTCTATTCATTCCAATTTTTTACTACTAGGAATAATGCCAGAATTAGCAATCTTGTAATTAGATCTTTGCTTTCTTTTGCACTTCTTTCTGCCTATATGACAGGATAGTATAAGAATAGTTATGATCTTTTAAAATTCACTGTGAAATAACTCCCAGAAATTTTATATCAATTTAAGAGTACCCACAGAAGAACTGAGGACTTAAAAAAACACAGGGAAGGCTGTTTTTGGTTATTTCATGAACATCTAACCATTTTTTTGTTGTGGTAAAAAAACACATAAAATTTATCACCTTAACATTGTTAAGTGTACAATACAGGAGTATTAACTACATGTCCTTATTGTGCAGTACAGCTCTAAAATTTTTTCATTTTGCAAAAATGAAACTTTATATCCACTATAGGGGATACTGTTTTTGTCTGTGCATGGATAACTAGGATGAGAAACTTACTGGTACCCTCAAAGAATTAAACTTCATTTCTCAAACTCACTATCTCCTTACAAGTTAGCTTTGGCCAAGAAAAATAATAATCTAAAACCAAACTTAGAGAAATAAAAGTCACAGGATATTATTCTGGCTTTTCAAGTTTGGCTTTATATTATACTTCATTTTGCTGCTCTCAAGACTGAAAATATACTAACAGCAGAATATATTGTAAATATTCCCTTGTAAAAAGAATCCGAACATTTAAATTTTATAATGGAAAAAGCTAAAGATGAACATTAAAGATGTTCTTAAAAATAAATTACACCCAAGATGATAGAGTTAGTAGCTTTAAAATCGGATTTTTTTAAAATACAGAAACACGAGCACATACAATAGTTAGGTTATTAGGAAAACCCATCAAAACCCATTTTTGCCCATAATGTAAATGAAAAACTATCCATTCACACACAAAAAAATTAGAAAATAATACTACTGTAATGCTATCAATTAAAAAAACCAATTGTACTGCAACAAAAAAATTATCCTGAATGCACGAAGAAAAGAAGATACAATCAGAGAAGACTGAAGCAGTGAAAGATAGGTGGATATCAGAAAGAAACTTTTTAGTATGTTCAGGCTCCTAGAGTATGATAATATTGACCCTTACATGTAATTTCACTATTTTAAATTGAAGTTTCCTCATTAAAAGAGCATCACTCGTATATGTGTCAGTCTCACTGAGGTTAATCTTGTAGGGACAGGGGCAACTTCCAAGTGATCAAGGGATAGGTGAAAAGGGTGATAAAGGTAGAATACTAGGCAGTAGACTGAGAAAACTAGAGGATCAGAAAACCAGGCAAAAGTGGGAATGGAAAAGGGAAAGAATGAAGGGAGTGAAAGATGGAATATGCTACTCTGAGAAAGATTACTCATTGAAATGAAAAGTGACATGAGAAGTAAAACGTAGGGGGAAAGAAAGGGTACAGCACTGTTTCCATGGTCTTCTGAGGAAAGGCAAGAGGATTTGGAGGGTAGATGTTTAATCACATTGTGTGGACCCAGGAAAACTTGGTAGCTGAGAACAGAGGGAGGGAGAAGGTAAGTGGGTGCAGAGTGAGTAGTAGTAGAGTAGACAAATAATTGACCATTTACATGCAAAGATGTTATGAAGGTTGATGTTTATAACCTGGAAAAATTCCTTCCTGTAAATACTTCTTAGGGTTGCAGACATACAAATATATAAATAAAAATAATGTTCGCAGAAAATTTAAAATCTCAGCTATTATTAGGAATCATTAATTTATTTTCTGTGACTGAACTCAATCAAACCTGTGACCCTTTGCAAGCCGGCACTCAATCCACTGAGCAACACCAGCCAAGGTATTGTTTCATGTTTTTTATAATCTCTTCTGAAGCACAAAAGTTGTTAACTTTTATGTTTATTTTATTTTTTCTTTTATTATTGTTTCTATTTTTAGTGAGCAATGGCACTGTTTTATATGGTAACAATTAGCTTTATTACTTTAATATATAAAATAAACTATTTGTTGGGATTCCAAATAATATTCCTAAATTAGCTCTTTTTAAGTGTACTTTAAAGTACAAGTGAATAGTCTGATCACAAGTTTCAAATATATTTTTTTCATTTGGATGATCAAAATAGCCAAACATATTGCACCTAATTCTTTTCAAATGAACAAATATTAGGCACCTATAGGAAACTCAGAAATAGAGTCATTCTTAGTTCTTTCTAGATGAGGCACTATTATGAACAAATACTTCTTATGTGTTACAATGTGAAGGGCTTACTAAATATGTGAACAATAATCTAAGACGGGTGTCATAAAGTACAGAAAGTAAAGGCCAGAGCAGTTAAGTAACTTGCCCAAGATCCCGCAGTTAGAAGACGAAAGAATTTAACCTCCTGATTATCTAACGTCAATGACTGTGAGTGTCCTTAGTCCATTAACTATTCAGCAAATTCTGGTAACATGTGTTTTCTTCTAGTACAATAAACCTTAGCAGATTTTAATCACAAAACAGGGGAGTCGTAAAGTCATAGCTGAGTGAAACTCTCCTCTTTCCGGAAATTGTGAATAGTGAGTGATGTTGCCTGTGTATTGATAAAACTTTGCAAAAAAAAAAATATGATTATCCTAACTAAGATGAAAAAATTGTCTTCCCTTAAAAGACATGTTTTGAAAGGTAACAGAGTACCTGGACATTGGCAAAGTCAACACGGTTGAGGTCATTGAGCATCTGGTTGATCTGAGAAGTATTCTGAAGCACTGCACGAGCTGCCTGGGCCAGGTGATTGAGCGACGTGTATCTTCGCAGAGTCTGGGCAAAGGCACTTACAGCGGCAACCTGCAAAGAAACCAAATTAAAATGGTTTTTTTCCCCCCTCCAGTAAAAGAAACTACTGCAAATGTTCAAACCTTTATTCCCTTGCCAAATTTTAAATGCTTCCCTCTGAAACTTATTGCAAATTCATCTGGTGAGAGAGCTAACTTGTAAATTATGTCATTTTACTCTCTAAACGAAGTATTATTTTCTTTTTAAGTAGGCTGAGGTCAAGACTAAAACAAACTCCCACATTCTTCAACATCTGAGTGCAGCATTAATTAAACCAATTTTACAAGTAACTACTCATCCACAGTAAAAAATGACTTTCTCTAGGGAGGCAGGAAAAATGTTGGTTTTCCTTATTTTTCTACTCTCTATAGAATAGTCAACTACAAACTTAGCAAATATTTTTTTCTTTTTACTTGGAAAACCAAACTTTAGAGCTTTACTTTTTTAAATAGATAAAAGTATATACTTTCCATAGCGCTGTCATTCAAATTCATTTACTACCTTTATGTTACAGAAATCTGGGTAATTCTGATGTGAAAAAAGTCTCAACAGCCTTCTGAACAACATATATATAGCTGGTAAACTTATCAGATACAAGCAACAAGAACTCTTTCAGAACGTAAATTTCTATAAAAGGGCTAGTCAGAAAACCTTCATTTGCCCTTAGCCCTTCATAGTCTACTTTCCACCCTTCTCTATTCTGCTCTGTGCCAGAAAGATCAGCCTGAATGTAAAGTACTACAGTAACCGCCCTCCTTACACTCTAACTTCCAGGTGGCTTCCAATGATGGGCGCTGGAGAAACACTGAAGGATGGGAATAAAGCCTGGTCAAGTATTTATTCCCCCACAACGACCATTTCCTCTCTGTTCTGGCAGAGCCTCCTTTCTAGTTCCAAGACCACTTCCTATGGCAAGAAGAGGTTCTCTTAATGCCACAACTTTCACCTCCTTCCCCTTCAGGTCCAGGGATAGTCAGGACTTCTCACTATTGCTACTCTTGAGGTATTTTAGCATTCCTTTTCCTAACTCTGTTTACACCTTCGGAAATAAAACCTTCTTAAACACCCTTCAATTATTTTAGCTTTTGGATATACCATTTGTTTCCTGCTGCAGGCCTGAATGAACCAGGTTACAATGAAAAATATTAAAGATAATGCCAAAAAAAGGTCTAGGTAAACATGTAAGTCTCATGATCTTATGGAAACTTGTTACATGCACAGCAGATCTAATGAGCATTTAAATATATTTATAGGCATGTACGGCATGCCATTAAATCACTACTGGTACAGAAGAAGCAATTGATTGAATAGTAAGATGGTGAGTGGCAGAATGCATTCACAGGTCGAAGGATGCTCTACTGTCATAGTGAAATGTTTTAGGACTATGTGGATCTTGGGGGAACTTCGCATACCCTCTAAACAGAGTCTTACACTTTTCCTCATTGCTGTGGTTTATATTAATCTAGTACATACTATGTGTCGGGCACTGTGTTCAGTGCCTCATGTTATTATTTGTTCAATTCTCATAACCATTCTACTAGACACATATTATGACTTAAAGAGGATAAGTAGCTTGCTCAAGGTTACACAGAGACTATATTACAGTGAGGGGATATGGACCCGGGTATTACAATAACAATACCCAGTCATAATCTCATTATTCTATTTACTCTGTCAGAGTAGACTATCTTCAATAATTGAGTATTCAGCTGAAAAAATACTGTACACCAGTGAGAGAGGAATCACAGAAAGTACCTTCCACCAAGGTAAATCAAACACAATCTGGAAATCAGTGAGATGGCCAATATTGCAGCTGGATTACTACCATATCCACTCTGATGACATGGGAAGGGAGTTGCTTTCAACTGTTCCATGTACTACTAAAAATATGACTGACCTTGCCAAGTTGGAAAGCATTCCATCGTAATCAAATAACACCTCCTTTATTTGCCTGCCTCAGTGTGGCACTCCAGAATAGCACTGCCATGGAGAACTTTCTATAATGATGGAAATGCAATGCACAGGTGTTGCCAAACATGGTACCCACTATCCATATGGTACTATGGAGCACTTGAAATGTAGTCAGCATGACTGAGGAACTAAATTTTAAATTAACTTAAATTAAAATTCAAATTTAAATAGCCACATGTGGCTATCCCTACTGTATTAACAGCATAGTTCTAAAGCAAAAATATAAGCTGGAAATCAATAAAATGTCTTTTCTGTATGTTTGGAAATAAATAGTGTTACTGCAGAACTTTAGTCCAAGCAGGAAATCTGGGAGCTGCTTGTGTTTGCAAACAGACTTATCAACTACAAGAGCATCACTCTCTCAACTAGACCCCCAGATTCAAAGATAATGGATATTGTTGGAGTCTGATGGTGGATATACTCATTGACAAAAACCCATAAATGTAATTTTTGGTATGAAAGTTTAGGCAAAATGAGTTCAATCCTGCCGTGGGGCATGTTTACAGATTAACCTAAAGTGACATGGTCTGTAGTAGGTGAATGGAGACTGGAATTCATATTTCTGGTTAAATAGTCCACATTCCTGATGTACATTGATTAATTATGAGGTAACTGTTCACTTTAAGAAATGATTACTTGATTCACAAAAGCATTCTTCAGTATTAAAAAAAATCCTGAAAGTAAAGGAATATCAATTTCCATGGACTTTTCCCAGCATGATGAGCATAGCCGGGGACTTTAAAACATCTAAAACTCATTAAACTGAGAACTATATGAACATTCTAGGCTATTCTTTTTAATATCTGAAATTAAGCAATCTGAAATATATACTTTATATAAGGTGTATAAATGCACCACAGTTAAAATGCTTCTCTAGTCTTTTGGAAAGTTGTATTATCAAACATCTCTATGTAAGTTCTTATTACATGGTTATAAAATACAAATGTAAAAATCAGTTTTAAAAATTATATATGTTATAACAGCAACATTTTAAATAATGTCATTCCATAGGACACATAAAATTCATAGTCCAGAATAATTTTCTAAACACAAAATAAAAAGCAAAGATATAAAAGTGTACCTTGGTTTGTATCATTCTCTGTGGAATATTGTTCATGGCATTAGAAAGCCAACCTTCAAGGCTTTTTGCAAAATTTCGAATGGCTTGGGTCAAGGCACCTAAATGTTAAAGAATAAAAGTAGAACGAAAAAGATGCAAAAGAACATTAATCTTTATGCTAGAATAAGGGAAAACATGCATATAATGACATCTGAAGTAGCACAGAACTTATATTGTCCTCACTGATGAGACTTTATTTAACATTATTCCTAACCTTGAAAGCATTCAAGAATTCTATATTGGGCTTTTTTTTCTTTTAAAGCTAATGTTGCTCCAGATATTTAGTATACTTGGTTGGGAAATAGAAATATTCAAACATTTTTGCTTATAGCAACATATACCAGTTGTGAATATACTTATGGAATTTTCTATCTCAGACAAAACACTTTTCATTTGCTCTGTGCTCAAAGGCTATTTGAGTTCTTATAAGTTCTTGTAAGTTCTTCATCTTGATTTGCAAGCTCTTAATCTATTTTCTTTTAGTTCAAAAGAGGATAATGTAAAGCTTCTTCTCTTTCTCTAAGCCTCTGTTTACATCAGAACATAACAGAGTAGTTATTTCTCAATCTTACAGAAAAAAGTAAGGTAACAATTAAAATTGCCTAACTTGAAATTTTGAATAACTATTCTCTATTTCACTTGGCAGGTAGAGCTAAAAGATCAGTGTGATAAAATTGCTGTCGCAGAGACCAATATTCTTAAGATATTCCTAAAACAGTCCATTCCATATTCTTCACGTATCTGTGTAAAAACCTGAAATGGGGATAGGTTCCATGGGAGTAGCTTTCTGTGTGGCCATAAAACGATCAGCAGCACCTTCAGTTGTCAGGGGTGACTGTTTTGTAAGAAGGGGTCTGTTTACTGAGATTGCTGTACAATATAAGACACAATCTCTTATGCAACAAGTAATTCAGTCATTAGCATCTACTTCATCTGTGCCCAAGTGTGGAAGCAGTTTTAGACACTTAATAAATATTTGAGGCATTCCTAAAATAAATCTTTGTGGGTTCCCTATAATAAAGGTAGGTATTACAATTGGTATTCCACTACAAAAAAACAGAAGTTACATTTTCATCCAAGGCCCCCAAGAATATTAATGTTAATGATAGGATTAAATTTCTTGGCTTTTCTTTCTGTGCTCAAATAATCTAACATGCTTCTCTATTACTTTTGTTACTCAGATTAGACAACTTAATTTGCTTGAGTTACTTGCAAAATGATACAAATATTACTAATCCAATAATAAAAACAACTATTTTTTAAACAATGACTTATTTAACTGGTCAAATGACAAAAGGGAAATTGAAATGGCTAAATTTTGATTAGGAAAAACACTTGAGAAGTGCAGACTATTAACCATGAGAATCATCTATTAAAAACACTGACTTGGAAATTTCTTGAGAACTAATCTTTTGAAATTTCCAAAACTTCCTACTTTAGCCAAAAAAGAAAAAAGAAAGAAAAATATTTTTCTGCTGCTGCATTATGTACTAGAATCATGGAGGGCAGGCATGAATGGAAATGAAAAGGAGTGAAAAAAATTAACGTTTTTTGAAACTCAGAAAATTTTTTTGTAAGATTCAATTTGACTATCTGTATTTTGCATTTCCTATAATTAATATATAATAATTAACATAAAAAACAAGAACTAGGAAAGGTTACCTAAAAAAATTGAGTCTTGTGTTATCTAGACAAATTTGATGCTACAGAGATCATAAAATATAGACATGTTTAAAATAGATATTACAGATTTTAAAATTTTACTTTTTTGTACTAAGCAAAATTTTGAGCCACCTTTAAGTCTTTAAGTATACCTCATAGTTGTACATTTCAGTGTTAACAGTTGAGTTCTTATACAATTCTTTGCACTTAACTTTATTTTCATTTTCAGATAAATATATTTTAGAATATAGTAGCTTCAAGCTGACTTTAAATTAGTGTGAGATGCAGACATTTTTTTGGCTAAAAAAAGAAATCCCATCTGGACAGTAAATGATAGAGTGAAGAACTAGTAGCCACAAAATAACAATTTTTAAAATAAACTCATGTTTGCTCTCTCTATAGGTTCACATCAGATCAAACTGTGCACATTAACTTTGACAATCTTTCTCATGAATGGATGTTTGAAATGGAACATCTATTGCAAAGCTAATTTGTTTCAACCTGCTCATGATTAATATTAAAATGCACACAACAAAAAGCTAGCTATCTAAACTGTATTTGATGCTTCATTTTGCTAAGTCTTTTTGTAGATTAGGAATTAAATTCCCAAATTTACTTGGCATATTAATAGCCTTGTAATTTCAGAGAAACAATAAAACTATATTTACTTAAAAATTCCTGAAGATGAGCTATCTGCTGAATGTAGAAACAAAGTATTTGACCAAGTAAATTGTTTTTTAAATCATGACTTACAAAAAACAAATGTGAAATGTATTATGTATTTAAATTGTGGGGCTTAAAGTTAACTTAAAACTGACACATGATTTAAGTTAGAAAACTTGAAACTTGAATTTATAAGTTATAGTCTTGTGAGGCTAACACGGAAGCTTAATATTTTAGAGTTAGTTAATGAATATTGATGTTGTTGAATTGCCTCAATTAAGAAAGTGCTCACTGACATTTCTTCTTGTATCTTGTAAGAGAAATTGGTGGGAAGATGTCATAGGCTAATGAGCTAGCCTATGCAACTTCTCTGAAACATCTCTAGAGATTATGACTCAGAGCACAGGGAGCACGATGAAATCAGAAAAAATCAGATTCTGAAACATAAATCAATAGGGAATTTATTTTCACATCAAAATTTTCATAACAACATCACTTTTAATCAAACCTTAGTCAGGAATGTGGTGTAGATAGAGTAGAAAACATTCACAATTGAAAAAAATGTGAGACAATGGCAGCTGGACTTTTTAAAACAAATTCCTATACAAATGTATGTGTGTTCATTGATATTATATGTAAATGTGTGGTTAAGCATATATTTTAAAGAGGTGAAGAACATATGAAATAACATCTTCCACTGTTATCATATTTAGAAAAAAGTATATAAACATAAAAATGTTAGTTTCTTCACTATTTGTTCTATTAAATCCCTATTTAAATATTGTCTGAATAATTTAATACAAATCACCCGTGAATGGTGTACTTAAAGTACATGGTCACCAATTTCATAAGCTGAAAGACTGCTTTTACTTTATTGGTGCCACGTTAGAGAGGAAATCTGTCCTCAGTCTTTAAAAGTTAAGGTCACTGGTATGTGCTCATAAAGACGTAAGCATGAAATCATTCCAAGTACTCTACACAAGTGTCCAGAGTAGCATTTACATTGACACTTGCAGAAAACAGCTTTGTTTGTTCTGTGTAAAAAGCAACCATAACTTCAAAAAGTAATCTAACTTCTCTATGTATTTCGTATTTGCTTCATGATGGAAATGCAGTGCTTGTGTAGTAACACAGATTTTTTTCTCTCAAAATGCCAGTTAATCATTGCTGTTAATAAATGGAAACTGTATTTGTGTTCTTAACAGGATGAAGGTGACAAAGTGAATGCTTTTACAATACAGAGGAATTCAACTTCAGTAGAAACCAAGATAAATTCATTAAAAATAAAAAGCAACCATGAAAGGGGTTGGCCTAGCAATTAGAGATTCCAAAAAAGTTTTAGCTTCACGAAAGAAACTGTATCCTCGTACAGAGTAATTTTTACATGATTGACTGACTGGCTTGCCAGTGTTCTTGCTGTCACATCCAGAGGTTAGCTTTTATTTCAAAAAGAAAACTACTAAGGTTTGAAAAAAACAGATCATCTGTTCCCCTTTTACTACAGTTCTGCTCTAGGCTGCTTTTAGGCAATACCCTGCGTTGCATACTTTCTATGTGGCAAACCTAAATGAGATCAGAATCACTCTAGATAGCAATGTCACTTCCCCAAACTTCCTAGGTGGAATGTATGAGAACAAAAGCATCCGTACTTGTCTGCATTTAACTTACTAGGAATAGGTCTAAGGACGTCGGGGATGAGAATCTCCACCAGAGCCTGGTACATCCCATGGTCACAGTTACACATCCATTTCAGGATAGACTCATGTTTGCACAGAGTTATCAGCTTTGCTTTCGGAAGTCGACTTTCTATTTCACTCAGATTGCTGGTGTGAATAAATGTAGCAAATGAATAGATGGCAAATGAGGATAAAAAAGAAAATGGACTTTAAAAATCGTTTTAGTTTATCAAATATTACTGAGGTTAGAACTATACCACCATTGCACTGGTGTCATACGGCTGGATATACATAACACACCCCCAGAGCTGCCTATGCACGTTAATACTTTCTGACGGTATGAAAGGCAGATACGATGCTAACTCCATGAGGATGAAATAGCTCTACCGCAGTCCCCCAATTCAATAAAATGGGAGCTATAACACACACACTGAAACCTCTAGAGAGCAGTTTGTGGTTTATTTCAATCTACTCATTTAATGTTATCAGGTAGGGTTCACAACTGGTATACATATCTCTAATTTATTAGCTGTGACATCTACTCAGCCATGAAAATGAAGTGGAAAAGCACATTGATTCTGACCTTGATTCAGTAATGGTAGTGCCGTCAGCTGGAGTAGAGGGAGAATAGCGCCAGAATGTTTGCCACAGTTTTTCTATCAGGCTAAACTGAAGATTCACAACAACATCCAATATTGCCTAAAAGACAGGATGGTTATTGGTATTACCTTACAATATTTCTTATGTGGAGGTGTGAGGACCACATAATGTAATGGGACTTAGATGTTAAAGATACCTGTGGGTTCGTCAAAAAATAACTTGTTTGTGCAATGAACATGTGACTGTGATTATTATGGGAAAATAGAAGAGATTAGGAAAATAGAAGAGATTAGCTAGGAAGAAAAGGTAAAAACAACTCTTGAAAGATTAAGCAGGATGACTTATCTCTCCCCTAACAGCTCCATACCTCTCACCCTCACTTTCACCTCTTTCCCCACCACCATTGTAGTGCTTGCTTCCTTTCCTCTCTACTTTTTCCTCTTACTTTTCTTCCATGCTTTTACCCACTGCTTTCCTCTGCCTCCAGGGTTGCTGCCACTCTTATTCTCAGACCCCAGGGCACAGAACATAGATTGAATTCACATCAGTCCTCATTGGGCTAGGTGTGTCCACTAGACATCGAAGAGGCCAGAGTGAAGGGTGTGGAGGTGCTCGTGTGTGGCAGACAGAGTTAGGACTAAATGTGACCTGTCTAAGGCTGCCGACACGGTTCCAGAGAGGCTGGCTCAGAGATGCTGTCCAGAGATGATAGCACCTGTCTGGGCAGAAACACTGCATAGCAGTTCCTCTCATTGGTCACACAGTGCCTCCTACTCAATCCTACCTCTGCACATTCTCTTTAGAGAGCAGTTTTAAGAATATCCCCCTTTGTAATCTTGGGTCCGGGACTTCACTTTTTCCTCTAGCTGCATCAAGGACTGACTGACTTTTGAAGATGCTAACATTTGCCACTTTCATTAACTTTTGATGACCATATATAGTTTCACCCTGCCCTTGCAATTAGTTTGTAAATTCACCTTTAAATAAACGCAGTCATAAAACCAAAAAATAACTTGTTTGTGCAATGAACATGTGACTGATTATTATGAGCAAAAAAGACAGAAGTTGTCAGTATATGTTTGCTATCCTCAGCATTGAGAGTGGGAACAGGCAAAACGACCCTGTTGAAATCTACAAAAATCACAGGAGCTAAGAGACAACAGGGGACAATCGAGAGAGTCAATGTTAGGATTTTAGGCAAAAAGGGGAAAATACAATATCATAATTCTGGGGTCTGTGCTGCCTGAGTAGATTGGCCTTATGCATAATGCAGAGAATAAGTGATGATGTACACAAAAACTCTAACAATTCAAATATTAAGCTAAATCTGTTTGAGACATATTCCGGGCATTAGTAGAAAAACTTGCAAGTAGTTAATAATGAAAATGGAGGGAAGGGGGAACATACTTTTCAATCTTTTATATCAGCAACAATAAAAATGCAAGGGCAAGCCCTGAAAGTAAAGGGCATATAGGTGCCCCTCCTCCCAGGCAAACACTAAAACCTTCTCGAGGGGCAAATTATTATAGCTGCTTTCTCAAATGTAGCTTAGGCACATTCCAAGAGACAGCTACAAATGAAGTAACTATTAATATCCTACATAATAATCTTATATACTTCTATGATATTGCTGCAAGAACACTATGTATGTATATGTTAGAAGAAAAAAATTAGTGCTGCAGCATCGTTCACAGAAAATTATACTTGTTCTTTACCTAACACTAGTGATAGTTACAAAATATCTTTGATTAAAAATTGTGAGAATTTCAAATAACGGGAAAAACAGATATATTAATCTTTCTTTAAAATATAAACTGTGGGAGCCCCAGATGGGTAGCTCAGCCGGTTAGAGTGTTGTCCCAATATGCCAAGGTTGTGAGTTCAATCTCCAGTCAGAACACATACAAGAATCAACCAGTGAATGCACGAATAAAAACAACAAATGTCTCTTTCTCTCTCTCTCCCCCTACCCTCACTAACCAATAAGTAAAAAATTAAAAAAAAACATAAATCAATGGAAACATGATATAAAATAAAGTAATTCAGCACATTTTATGTTTAGTAACTCTTCAAATTAAATAATCTCTAATTCTTTCAAAGAGGACATTCTTCACAACAGCCTCTTGAGGCAGTTTTACACATGAATAAAACATTTATCATTTGTCCATTCACCCACTTTCAAGTGTGGTCATATTTAAAATATGAACATATATTTCAACAATCCACATTCTATGGTCTTAGAGCAAATGACTATTTACAGGACTGGAATTGAAACTCATGTGCCTGTACTTTATAAGTTTGGAAATTTCACAGAAAAAAAAACCCCGGAATTCTTGTTTCTCATATTTGCTCCTATGTGCCATAAGAGGTGGCACAGATTCCAGTTACCCCTGAAGGACATGGGACTCATCCACGGACTGCCATTCCTACTAAGACTGATTATTTCACATGTCTGTCTCTCTTCATCTGGGGCAATCCTGAAAACTAGAATGGTAATGAAAATTTGTAATCCAAAGGGTATTTTCATCTTCATGGGGGAGTTTTTCACTAAGAATAATCTTACTGTATATTCTTTAGTGATGTAAATAATCATGTTCCAACTTATATTTTGAATATGAGAAACTTTAAAAATATCCAAATTATATTTCTGTAAACTGGTTTGCTTAAAGCAAGGTTCAGAGAACACAGAGAAATAAGAAATTGCTTAGATAATCTTTGTATGAATCTTCACTGAATACCTATATACATGATATCTGTGTAGAAAAAAAGAAGTATTTTCTAGATGTGTAAGTATAATCCAGAAATTCTCCAATATTTGGAAAAGTGCAGTCAGAGAGAGGTGGATATGCAGTGTCTGTCCTCATCCCAAACACTGGAGACAGGCTGGCAGGACGTGTTGAAGAACACTCTGGCACACGGGTCGCTAACAAAGACGGAGCTCAGCCTCGGTTGTTAATAATCTAGCACCCTTGACAAGCACTCGGATTTACTCAAGCAGTTCTTATTTCTGGAGTGGGGAGAGGTCTGTGAATGCTATGAGCTGAGATTTCTTATTATATACTGCACTGTCAGCAGTCAGGAGGGCAGACTGTGAAACCCAAGGGATTATCTTTTACTTCTAAGTAGATCACAAATAACCCTGAAATAAAGCTACTTAAATTCTAAAGGTACTCCTTTTTCAAAAAGAAAGGCACTTATAAAACTCTTGCTGCAATCTATCATCCCCTCAGCACCAAGTGAGCGGCAGGGGTCTTAGCACGCTGGCGTGGAGAGAGTGCCCCTCCTGGAGACCTGTAGCCTGTTCTGACGTGGGACACGCAGAAAGGGAGTAGGAGGCAGGGATGGAAAATACCGCGGGAAACCTTCATTGGCATAAAAATAAACAAAGCTGAAGCCTCATTGGTCCCTGGAAGGAACACCTAATGTGCTTTATCAAACAGGTGTAGAAAATATTTTTGATAGAAATACACACTGATGGTATAAAATTTAAAAGATACAAATGGTGTATTAAAAAATTAGGGCTCTGTCTCCTGATTCTCAGTCACCAGTTTCCTTTACAAAGGCAACCACCATTAATATTTTCATGTTTTTCTTCTGGAGAGATGTACGTACATGTTCTTTTTCATTCCAATGATAATATACTATATACACTGTTCTGCATTTTGTTTTTTTCCTTTAAAAATAAATCCTAAGACTGTTCCATATTAGTACATTTAGAGTTGTCTATTCTTTAATGGCTGCATAATATTGCACTTTATAGACTGCACCATATTTTATTTATTCAGTTCCCTACTAGATACTGAAGTTACAACCAATCTTTTGCATTAAAAACAATAATGCAACAAGTTCCCTTGTATACTTATCTCTTTACATATATATATATATATATATATAAACATTTTTTCGGATAAAAACCTAGAACTGGAATTTCTGCACCAGAGGAATCATGTAGGATAGGCTAAGAAAATGGACAGTAAAATTTATTTTCTGTATTTTTCACTTGTCCACTCTGAGACAAGAAGAAAAATTAACTTATTAGTGCTCAAAGAAATATGCACTGACTTCATAGGTCCCTGAAGAATAAGTACATTTTGTTTATTAGCAAGTTGTCTAGTAAAACAGCATATGATTGTACTATGTTTGAAAAGACTTACCTCACAGTGCTCTCGATAAAGACTCTGTAGTGACTTGATATCCTCAAAGGTAGTACCATCTGGCAGAGAAGAGATTTCAACTTCTCCAAACTCTGGAAGTGCTCGAGATGCATCTGTTACCATGACAACACAAGAGAAAAAAGCTTTGTGGTGGTGCCAATTACAGATTAATGAAGGAAAAATTAAGAAGATTAAAAAGAAAAGACAATGAAAGGTTGGCGGTCCAAAGAACAAGGATTTTTGATATTAGGCTTTGCAAGCAGAACTTGGCAATATCATCAGCACAAAAGAATAGAGGAAACATACAAATTTTGAAGAAACTACATGTTTACTATGGCTATACTAGAAATAAAAAAGCAGTGTCTCTTAATATATGGCCCCTAAAGGGGAATAAATTATGATAGAAGGAGGCTTGACTTTGGGTGATGAACACACAATACAACATACAGATGGTGTACATAGAACTGTACACCTGAAACCTATGTAATTTTATTAACCAGTATCACCCCAATACATTCAAATAAATAAATAAATATAAAATAAAAATAAAAATATATCTTGAGCTGCCAGTATCAGTTTTGGTTACTTTTACTATTATGCCATTTAAATTATGTAAAAAAAATAGATCTAGCTCTAAACTCATTATGCTCAAAACTCTTACATAATTATAAACCACAAAGCTATAAAATAAATACAAAGAAAACTACAAAAATAACATTAAACTTAAGAACATTAATTTGATATGATGGATGATGCTGTTGTCCTGCACATAAATTACCTCTTGCAACATGAATACAATACTGACTGCTGTGGCAATGGCATCTTTTGAGTTTGACAGGCCTGTACCAACACGTACTTCATGGTCGCTGGTTCTCCCATTACTCTTCTACATTCAAATAAGTTGTAAAGCTTTCCTCCACACAGAGAGAGCACTGGGACATCATTTAGCCTTCCCTTGGGATGAAGGCGTAATTTACAGAGTAAGTTTCTCTGTGTTCTTTTCTCATTGATTATGAACAATTAATGCAACATACTTTGGTGCCTGCCTTAACATAAATTCAAAAACAGATGTGGAAAATAAAGTTGCAGAACAATATTCCACCTAGCCTTCTAGGTAATACAGAATATGCTTTTATTTTTTAAGATTATAACTGAAATAAAAGCATGTCATAAAAAATATTCATCTTGAGAGTTCAAAGGTCCACAGAAATATACCTGAGGACTTTAGTTTGGGAAATGTTACCATATTTTCAACTTCTCTGACTGAGAATCCACTTTACTTGTCCTTCTCATGAAGTGCACAAAACACACACACTCTCTCTCTCTCTTTCTCTCTCTGACAGCTTTCCACCTGTTTGCTCTGTTGTACAGAAACTATGCATGTTCATTTCTAGCAGAGTTATCAATTAAAGTGCCATTTTTGCACCTTTGGCTATGACAGGAATATGCAGAATGTTCAACTTCCACTTCGTAACTCTTTAAATAAAATCTATATATTTTTTACAAATAGAAGGTGCAGTAATCAAGTTAAAAGAATTACTTTTTAAAAGTTTTAATAATTTTTTCTAATCTGAGGCTGTGTGCATATATAACTTCATATATAGAAAATAATTATTTTTGGCACTTAAGTTACTACTGAGAGTAAATACAATATAGTTTTTTTTTTAAAGATTTATTTATTTATTTATTTATCTTTAGAGGGGAAGGGAAGGGAAGAGGGAGAGAAATATCAATGTATGGTTGCCTCTTGTGTGTCCCCTGCTGGGAACTGGCCTGGAACCTAGGCATGTGCCCTGACTGGGAATCGAACCGTGGTTACTTGATTCCCAGGCCCGTGCTCAATCCACTGAGCTACACCAGCCAGGGCTACAATATAGTTTTGATCACAAAAACCCAGTTAATAAAAATTCTGCAAAAACAATTTCACAGTAATGAGCCGTTAATTTGTATCCACTTAAAAGTCCTACATAGCTCAAGAGTTAAAAATAAGCTACAGTGAATGTGAGAAAATATAAATGAACTAGAAATATCATATGATGTACATAGTTTCAGCACAAAAATGTCTTTTTATGTAATTAACATCTATAATAGAAATTGCACTTGGACAAAACACTATTGTTCTTTTGTTTCACAATCCTAAAAGCAACTAATATGCATTACACCTTAACATACCTAAAAACTGTTGATGATGTTGACTTTGGGCAATTACAGTTTGCTCAACAGATGTGCCTGTCTGTTGACCACTTCCTGTGAAACCATCTGCAACCCCATCCACTTTCTGCATAGGCTTGTACCTAAAAATATTAGATGGGAAAAAACACAAGTAAACCAAATTATTCCTTGCTGTTTTTGTATTACACAAAACTCCCTAGACATTCAATTTTATTCTATCTCCTTTAATGTCCCACAATAGTGGTAAAATTTTTTTTTCCTTTATAGTATCACAGAGCTAAAATGAAGAAATGTTCTCAATTGTGAAAAGAAAAATGGAGAGAAACTAGGAAGAAGACCCATTTTTGAAAATTCAGAAATTTACCTAAGAATGAGAGTCAGGAAATATTTCCTTAGATACCAGCAGCAAAAATATTTATGATTATAGTTTTAATACATGGTTTGAACATAACTTTTAATGGCCAATGGACCAAAGGAAAGACACTTTAAATAGATCTGAATTTTAATCTGAGTTAAGACCTAGGAACTAGAGTCTGAGAAATGCTGATGAATGGCTTCCAATGAATATCTCTAAAATATGAATCAGCCTACAAACTCTATCTACCATCTTGCTTTCATATCTCCTAAAATCTCCCATGCATCTCAACACTTCATCTGCCTTGACTCCTCTCCACATCTGCAAACAGAAAGAAAGCCCCTAAGCATCAACTTGTAGCGAAATACATGCAAGAATCCATCTATAAATTGAGTTTACCAAATTAAAAAATAAGCAAAGTCACCTATAGTTACATATTTATCTTTAGGTCCTAGTCATCCCAACTCATGAACTTTCCATACTGCTAAGAAAGAGGAAATATATTTAGCAGCATGGACAATAAGGAAAGCCTGCTTGAAGGAGAAATAGAAAATACAAAAACAAATAGACATAAAAACAAAAAAAAACTGGGCAACCCTCCTAGGATAAACAACTACAAAGTAAGAAATAAGCAGTAACCATAAGTTTTTCTCTTTCTCAGATTTTTCTTTAAGATTTTCTTTATTTTATAAATTAAGAAAAACTATGAAAAAATTAAAATCAATGAGCTTGTCCTACAGATACCATCATTCACCTTATGATGTTTATTCTTCCATTCTTTTTTACCCTATTTCTAATTATATTTGTAAATAAAACCAGCCTAATATTCTCACCACCCAGACACTTGCCTCTTACATTAATACCATAGGGGAACAGAGTCATTAATATGAATTGCTGTGAATAACAATGTCCCTAATACATGAACAGTATATACTTAAAAATGCCTGCACTCTGGTAACAGGTATAGAATGGACGGACCTGGTGAGACACTGTACAAACTAATGCTCTGGCTGCCTTAAGGAATGATTCAATCTTAAATGTTATTAATTACAATTTAGGTAAATGAAACTTCACAGAAAAATTGCAAAGTCACTTCTAATAACATTTACATTTATTTCTTATATGCCAGTATCTCATGAAAAAACTATGAAAAAAAAAAGTCAGGACATGAACAGGGTGAAAAAAGGGTACAGCATACATCATTCTTATTATCATGTTAGTGACGACCCTCCACCACGAGATGGTGGTCGCTACTTTCTAAGGACATATGAGAACTCAAATGTTTTCTTCTCCTTAATGGAAAAGCCACCTGAAAGTACCTTTCAACTGGGTCATACCAAGAGATGGCAGAAGGGTTAGTGTTGTGATGTTCTAGAAGTACTCTTTATGAAAAACTGAATTTTTATCACTTTTTCCTTAAAAAATGATCTTACCAAGGCAAAAAAATTTTGTGAGGCAAGTACTTTGAGTTCTTGTGTAGGGGAATTTAGTAATTCTGTCACAGAAAATTTGAATAATTTTATATTTATTTAGGAAAGTTTCTTCTCATTGGTCCATTCTAGGTTTCATTTGATTTTAGCTTCCCTTTTTCAGCTATGAAATTTTATATCACTAATAAAATAAGCTAAAATTGTTTAACCATGTTTCTTCATTTAAGTTAATGAAGTATGGCATTCATAGAGTTAATAAACAAAAGTGGTAAGAGGAATTTGAATTATTTACCCTGGAGAAGAGAAAATTAAAATATTTCATATAGAATTCAATTATATTAATTTTTAATATAGGATTCGAGAGTAATTATGAGACTTTGCCAAGCTATGCTTTATACGTTTCCTTTGTCCTTCACAGCATCTAGTGTACTATGGATGCTTAATGGGCACAGCAAATATCAAGGACAAGTGCCATTTTACCTAAAAGCAAATGACCTTTTTCTCTCAGACTGTACGTTTTCAGCAGATGGATGCTATGTCACAAACTACTGCACACAGTGCTTAGCAAACCTGTAGCCTGTAAGCAAAATCATCTGCTTCCTTAGAAAGATTTAGACAATGGACATTCTTAAGGGAAAGAGATATTCTATGTGATAAGCACTCAAAACCATAATATATTATAATTAATAAATGATTTAATAATTATATTGAGTGGGGAGCACTGATTATAGGTACACCATATTATTACATAGGAGACAGAAAATGCATCAATATTAGTTTATAGGAAAAAAAAGAAAATTAGTTGGTAAATGCTGGAGAAATGGTGCAGGTCAGTACTTAAACACAAATATTATATAAAAGAGGTCACAAAAATACAATTGAGAACTGAAAGTTTTTATTCTAACCATAAAATTAAGGGTAGAAAGCTAAATAGTGGATTAAATGGATCAGGCAAAGATGAACTAGTGAATCTATTCTTGGTTGCTGTGTCAACAGGAGCTTTATAAGCCAGAACTTTGTTGTACCTTCTCCGAGAAAGGTGTGGGGGCAAGTTTGGGAGGGGCCTGTGCCATTAAAGATTACATCATTAGTGGCAGGAATATGGTTCATGTATAAGAACACTATTAATGAAAGCTAAATATGAGGGAGCTTCCAGGTAGTGCTGACTTTTGCTTTTTCCTGCTATATTTTAAATACTAAATCACATGGTAACACAGTGTATAGTCTGGCACTGCACTGGTACTTAGAAGGAATCCCCTGAAATCACAAACACTGGACTAAGGAAAATTAGATGTTCAATTTCCTAATGCTCTAGGAAAAACACCCTATCCCTGCCATCACCTCAGGGGGTTAAGTCTTCTGGGAGAAGAATGTAGTTTAACAGAAGTCAAGAATAAGTCTCAACAAATATCTGTGGTAACTGATTCTGCTTGGAAGAAACAGTTATGAATATTATACTGTGTTAGGTAGTTGCATGTCAGTATCTGGGTAGCTTTCAAAAAATTTCAAAAGACAGACTCGCCCTAGAAATATTTCACAAAATCTTTGAGAATGGTGCTTAGAAATTGATTATTTAACTAGTTCTAAGATATTACTTAAGGAGCCTGCACAACACTTGTCCACAAGAGCTTCTTGGACTGATAGAAATTCCTTCAGCCCACTGTTGTAGGACATCCCTAACATTAGTGACAAGTTATTTTTAATAAAATGTCACCAATTTTCTTTTTCTCAATTAATTACATTGGGAATGTAAGTCAGTGTCTCAGAATATATAATGAATGAGTGAATGCTCAGAGTAATATATTTCATTTTATCATACTATTAATTGATCTTAACATATATCAAACCAATGTAACAAGCATTTATTGAGCACTTACTATAGGCAAATCAGTTAGGGACATGGATTTGAAAAGGCTGTGTAGGAATAAAATTTTTCCAGCATGGTTTTTAATATTCTATTGACTTACATGATAATATTATATTCTCTTAACTCTAGCTGAATTGCAACTGGCATCTCAGATTTTTCAGATTTCCTGCGTCTTTACCTTCTTCATAAAATAATTACCATTTAAATACCAAATTGTAAAAACCAGAGGTACTTTCAACTGAAAAAAAATCACTGAATTCTTTAAAAAAGGGAACTCTGTGGTAATTCTTTAAACAACTCAACTTGTTCCCTTTCCCCCCATTTACTTTATAAATGAGTTATTTTTAAATTAGGCTTTCTTACAGCAGATCCTTAGTGCTCCTGAGTTGTGTATGCTCAGAGAAAGATCTGTGCTGCATCTAATGAAGAAACAGCTCTTGGTTTCAAAATTAGTAAGAGGCAAATAATAATTTTAACAGCTTGCAACTCCATGGGCAATCAGAACTGAAGTTGTTAATGATTAGGAAATCAAAGAAACTCTAATGCTTTAATGCTGAGTGTATGCATGAAACCTGTCACTACTGCAGAAAACTTGGAAAATTATTAAGAATCTTCCCCCAAGGGCTAGTCACAGCTAATATTTAGAACTTGGACAGTTGTAACTCGACTGTAAAATGGTATCTAATTTTGTCCATCTCACACAAAAGGACCTTGAAGGAGTCAGATGGAAGCCAAAGAATGGTATGTATTTCCCACCACATTCAACCAACAGTACCAGGTGGAATAATTTTCAACAGACTAAATGAAACATTTGGAAAAGCTCCTTGGCAGTAAGTAAAAAATGTACATGCAAAATCTGAATTATACAGTTGAAGAGTCATTATTAGGTATATAACTCTAGAAAGTATCTAATCATTTAATGTGCAGAACAAATCTCTATGTTGAGCTCATTATCAGGGAAAGAGGCTAAAATTTTCTTGGAATCTTGAGATTCCCTTTGGAAAAATCGGACCAGAAAATCTTTCTGTGACTTGAGGTCTGAAACCAAATGATATAAACATGAACAGATCAGAGAAAACAGTGAATGTTAAGAGTAGCATTTTTTCAAACTAGTAACTGACTCCTTGACGTCACAGTGAATGTCTGTTTCTAAATGACTTCTAACATCAACCCTGCTGGTTAATGATAGCTATTCCATCTCCTCAATTCTTTAGTAGCCCTTAGAGTGTTTGTCTCTTCATTAGTTCTACATCTATAATTGGGCAAGGGTAGGGAAAAAATTAAATTTAAATGGGGTGGTTATATTAACTGCAGCTACAGTAGAAAATTTAGGAGAGGCAGGGAGAAGATAAGGTTGAAGCTACTGGCTAAATTAAAGCTGTGGGTCATTCACTCATTTAACACTGGCAATGTGCTTAGTGCTCTTCTAGATGCTCAGTGCACAATGTTGAAAGAGGTAGACAGGATTCC